AACCACTGAGGTTTCAAATAGTTTTTTACTAAAACCTGGACTTGACTGCAAATATACACAGACATGTCAATTGATTAAAAGAGAGAGAGAGTATACAACCAATTTCAAAACACAACAAATTGACATTGAAGAAACGGTAAACAATATTCAAGTCAAATATAAAAGGTAAAACAAAAAAAATGAGACTTTTCCGAAGTACATACCGTTCGGCCATTTCGGGGAGGCGGGTTCGGACCATGTTTTCCGCTCTGGGTTTCAGAGAGGCAAGCTCCCACAACATTTGAAGACAAACCGAGGATAGAGATGGAGGCCAGTCGTCGTTCCTTATACTTGGAGAATGGACCGATGAAAGAGATGGAGGTAGGTCGTGGGTTCGAGAGATGAGGGAAACATAGAGGAGTGGGATATTGGCCGGAGCTGTTGTTGTACGAAGTGAGGAAGGCGGGGCGGGAATGGCTGGGGATGCGGGAAGGAGGCGTTCGATTTTTGAAGGGGAAGAGATTTTTTTAGCTCAAGACACTGTGTGTAAAAGGTGTGGGAGGATGGGGTAAAAAAAATATAGCCTCTTATATATGGTGTACCCCAGGGTGTACACCAAGACTTTGCAGACACCGAATTATTGGGTTACAGATTTGCTAAATTCAGTAAATTGGGCTGACCAGAAGCCCAGTATGTTTATTACTCTGCAGTTATTTATGCTACTACGCAAAACGTCGCCGTTGGACTAAATGAAATAAACCTACGGGACTTTCACGTTGTTCACTCCTTTCACCAGCGGAGGGGCAAATAAACAGGTCGGCGAATAAGGAAGAAGACGATAATCTCCAGGGGCGCGGTGCAAACAATACATATAACTACCTTAGCTATTCCGGCGAACGGGAGGCGCCAGCACCCGCTCGCCCCCCCCAGTTCTGCCACTGATGGCTACTATAAATTTAAAAAATATATTTCCACATTCCTATTAAATTATTTAAATTCTTCTCGTTTCGATTTGAATTGAAGTTTAAGAAAGTCAGAATGCAATAAAAATTAAATGCATGTTTGTAGTTGAGTAAGAAAATATAAATGAATATTAATCACACGAAACTTCTCAAAAAGAGAAATGGGAAGATCAATGTTTTAGAGGCCGTTTGGTAACCTCATTTTTCGGCTTATCAGGCTTATCAACCATCTTTTTCACCAAACACGTTAACTTTCATTTTCGCGCGCTGGATTGTGTAATAAGTAGAAAAAGTAAGGGTGAAGTTACTTTTCTGGCTGCATTGGCTGAAGTTAATGTAGATGACCATTTTAGCTATTTTTACATATATGTTTTTCTTTATTTTATTAATAAAATATATTTTAAAAATAATTTTTACTTAAATCAGCAGAAAAAGCCAAAGCAGCCACTTCAGCCAGGACTTCATAAATTTTAGCAGAAACAGCCAAAACAGCCGATTTTGGTGCTACCAAACGGGCTCTTAGTATATCAATTTTTTTGTTTTTTTGCTTTCAATTCGATATTATTATTACTTTTATTACCTTGTCATTACTTTTATTTCGAACATTTATGTTGGTTTGAGGGTTGGGTTGGTGAGTTTTGATGTTGTTACTGAGGGAAGTATTTTGGTTTTTAAGTTAAGGCACGCCGACATCTATTTCAAATCTCTCGCATGTTTAGGAAAGGGCGTTGCTCAATCTATTGAGAATGAACTATTTTATACCTGATGAGAGAGTGAAAGGACAAAACCTTGCGATGAGATAATTCCCCAAATAAGACCAAATAATGTTAAAAGTTCAACAATAGGACTGTAATGTTCGGTTATCTTCCGTAGGACTAAAAAGAGTTAGATAGACAAAACTGCCCTTAATGAATAAATTAGTATTTATGAACAATTCAATTAAAATAATAGAAATAAAACTGACAGCAGGCATAGACAATACGATGCAGCCTCTGCAATAGGACCACAACCATCTCCATTGCCACTGCCGCCGCCGCCGACGTCGATGCCGCCGACGTCGATGCCGCCACCTCCACCGGCGACGTCTGCGCCGCCGCCTCCGGCTCCATTGACGTAATCTCCGCCTCTGCCGGAGTCACCGCTGGATGCCTCCACCGGCGTCGCCGCCCCCATCCACCAGTGTCACTGATGGCCGCCTCCACTGATGTCGCCGCCGGCCGCTTCACCGCCGTCCACCACCAGATCTGAGATCTGGTTTGTGATTTGATAATATTGTCATACAAATACCATCTTGCAATTGTATTGCCATCTTAATGATATTATTGCCATCCTGAGAGAAATAAGATGTCATTTTCAGTTTGAAAAATGGCATTAATGTCTTTCATAAGAGTATTATTGCCATCTTTATATCTTTAGTTCCATAAAAATAGCATTTATTTTCGAAGTGGAATTTTCACATTTAGAGGATTGATATTAAAAATGCATGTGTCGTCTTGCAGTTGAAGTGTTATCATATTGTCATTATTGCCATCTTGATTGAAATAAAATGACATATTCATATTGAAAAAAAAGACATTAATGCCATAAAAATGACAATCATGCTTAAAGTGAGTTTTTCATATTCGAAGGAATAATATTATAAAGGTACTCATATTATTCTGAAATTAACTTCCAATAGATGGTATTTTTTTGGGAAAATAATAATAATGATGTAATTTTTGTTTTCAAAAATAAAAATCGAAAAATAAAAAATCAGAGGAGAAGCATAGCAATGAAGAAGAAGGTTGAGGAGGAGGAGGAGGAGGAGGTTGAGGAGGAGGAGGAGGAGGAGGGAATTCAAAACTTACCTATGAGTTCGCCGCTGCTCACTGCTGCTCGCCGCCGCCCACCCGCCGGAGCTCCGGAAAAAACCACCGTTGATGCTTCCAAAAGCAGTCGAAGATGGAGGAATTTAGTTGTATTGAAAATCTGGAAATATGTGTGAACTGAAAGATGAGGTTAGGGTGGAGCAGATCTATTACGTGAAAGAGCTTGTGCCCAGATCTAATTTGTTGCTTGAAGAGAAAAGAGAGGGGGAGAAGAAGAGAGGAGAGAGAGAGAAGGGAAAAATGGTTGGTGCGTGTGTAAGAGTTGTGCGTGAGGAAAAAAAGGGTAGAGTGGGAATAAAATAGAAAACAGTCCTATTTTGGCAATAAAAAAACTTGTAGTCCTATTCTTGCATTAATAATCTATTTTAGTCCTATTTAGATCAATAACTTAATACTATTTCATGGCTTGGTCTGAGGCAGTAAAAGTAAGGTCAAAATGAAAATATGGATTTGGAATGCCAATGTGTGGTGGGGTGTCCCCACTTAGGAAGTCATTATTTATGAAGCACGAAAACTCTCGAAAAAAATAATTTTATGTTTCGGTAGCTCTACGAAAACTCTTTGGATACTTTCTAAACATAAGTCAAGTACGTAGTATTTTTTATCAACATTATTTAGTTTTGAATCGTAAAAATAAAATTACGCATGTAAAAGCGAAATGTTTTATTCATCATCCAAAATTTACTTGTACAAACATTAGTTCTATTTAGAGAACACATATGTATTGCATGCAGTTCTACTGAGAATTCCCTAAGTGCTTTTCAGGACTTTTGAATACGAAAAAATGGGAAAAAGTAGGTACTTTAAATTAAAGTTAAAATTAAAAAATGATAATTTTATTTATAAGTCACATTATAAGAAATATTTATAAATATATTTTCTTAAATTATAAATATATACAGATTATAGAATGGTTAAGAGGGCAAGACCTTCTCCACACCAGAACCTAGCTATGTCAGTGGTGGTTAGAGCATTGAAGGAGGCTGTTCAATACAGAGAGTATTAATTATTACGTACTTAATGAAGGTAGGGAGGAGTGTAGTTTCGTTTCGAGATCAATGAGCTTCTGGTCTGGTCATGACTCATGAGGCCTTGAAGTCGAGGGGCTACTTTCTTGGGTGGATAAAAGTGGAGCTAGTGGATTACTTTTGTTTTTGGATAGTGCAAATTAAGGATATGAATATTTGGTAATTTTGCCCGAATAAAAGTGAAGCAATTGAATTATTATTTTTGGCTAAAGGGTCAAATAGGCCCATGTATCGATCTTGTAAGCTCAATTCAGTCACTAAACTAAAAAAAGGTTCAATTCGCACCCTGAACTGACAAAAAATGATTCAAATTTCATTTTTACGGGTAAACAACTGATCATTTTTAAAAAACATTTATCGTTTCTATTTTTTATTTTCAATTTATTGTGATTTTTGACACTTTTTAACAGTTTAAGGGTGCGAATTGGACATTTTTTACCGATTGTTTACCCTTAAAAAATTAAATTTGAACCCTTTTTTGCCAGTTCAGGTGCGAATTGGACCTTTTTTAGTTCAAGGAATGAATTGAGCTTAGCTTACACGACCGGTACAAGGGTCTATTTGACCCTTTAGCCTTATTTGTTTGATAAAATTATCTCTGCTATAATATAAAGATCATCAATTTCTCAATTGTTGGATGTTATGTTTTTCAATTTTTTATGTTTTTCAATCTATGCTATAATTAACCAAACACCCCAACATAATTATAGCCTTATTTGTTTGGTCAATTTCTAAATCAGTTTAGAATAGCATTTCTTTACATTTTTCTAGGATGTTTAGTCTCCAAATGAGGAGCTAAACTCTCATTTCTTGGTTTTGCTCTTGAAGCTTGTTGATTATTAAAGTTGTGAGTTATTTTCTTAACTTCTTCTCTTGATTATTAATTCTTCCCTTAATCTCATTCTATATTAATGTTGGAGGGTTGCTAAGTGACGATTAGTTAACGTTCCGACATTAATTATTACTAGAAACGGTCAACAAACCGATGGTTAATCGTTGATGGTTTCACAAGTAACTTCGGTTTATTAATGCACGGTCGTGATTAATAAACTTAAGAGAGTTAATTTTGTTGGTTAAACCGAAACCGTTGTGTTGAGGTTATCAATCTCAATTGATTTCATCAAGGAGTTAAAGAGATTAAATGCTACTATTATATCAGTATATGGCTGTAACACCCCCAAATTTCCCACCCAAAAATAATACTTTATTATTAATTTTATTTGAAAACATCAGAATTGTGCAGCGGAAAATCAAAAGGAAAATAGGGGCGTTACCGCCACACTCGGTTCTCCCTTAACCGAGTGCACAGGCTAAAACAATTTAAACTCCAGAAATAATTATCACTAACTAAAGATATTGAAAATGGAGTTACAATGATTTACTATAATTATGTTTTCTAGCGGAAGCTCTCTCGAAATCAACTTGAACTTCATCAAATCATCACCTGTACAAAATCAAGTACAGAAAGAAAGACAAAAGAAAAGAAAAATTAGCAACAATGCTAAGTAAGTTCCACCTAACCCCATAAAATAATATAATTTAATATTTTTTTGAAACAACATTTAGGAGGAAAATTCTTTTCAAACACTTTATGTAAATCATAAGTAAAACAATTATAAAATATTCTCATAACACAATTCATAGGTAAAATAATAATATCAAATATAAGTACATATTTCAAAACCAAAATAATTCCAAAATGCCGAAGTACATAAACCACCAAATATTATCACAAAATACTTATAAAATACTTATAAAGGATATTCAACGTAATTAAACCGAATCAAATATAAAAGTATTTATACTCTAAAAATTCAAAAGAATAGTTTAATAATCCAATCCAACTCAAATTCAATCCAAATATAATCCAATCCAATCTCAATCAATCCAAGAATTCAAATTCACCTCAAGTCCAATCCAATCAAATAATATTCACCTCAAATCAATATATCAAGTTCACCTCAAACCAAATCAATCAAAGTCCAGTTCACCTCAAATCTAATCAAAGCTAGTGGAAGCCGAACTCCTACCTTAAGTGTGCACACCCCTAAAAGGGATTCCAAGCCCTCCAGGAAGTAAGAAGTCCGAGTAGTCGAGATTTTTCTACCAACTACACTACGATTAAGCTGGGATACTCCGCTTTTGGGAAGTACCCCTGGTGGATTTAGACTTATAGCCATTACCACTCACCAATACCACATTTATCCGGATGTGGCAAACCGACACCACGGATTTCTCCGGGTGCTCACCAAAAATCACAATTCATTCTCAAAGTCCCAACCAATATCACAACCTCAAGCAAAACGGATATGAAATCCAAAGTCCACATAATAATCCACAATGTAAAATATCAACCCCAACAAATTACACTCAAATGTACCATACATAAAATTTCACAAGAGAGCCAAAATATAAAATACTTCATAAATAGCTCAAATCTCAAATCTCAATTCCAATCCCAACAACAACTCATATGGTAACTCAAATACTCAAAATATCATCCAATATCAAATACTCAAATTTCAAATATAATTTCTCAATAGCAATCCATAAATAATTCCAAATACTCAAATAAAAATCTCAATTGTAACTAACACGTAAATGTAATTGCTAGAAATCTCATCAAATCATCAAACATTTCAAATAAATAATCATAAATAGATTTACGAGGAAAAGGTATAATTTTGGTTGACGTGAAACTTACCTCAAATCGCAATAAATACTAGCCGAACTTATACCTCGATCTTCTCCGAATTCACCTTCTAAGAATATTAACAAATCTTAATTAATAACTATCTCCCAAATATAGTTTAATCATCCCATTAATGTTATTATTATTGTTATATTATCTTAAATTAACAATCTGGCCAGCCCACTATTATATACGGAGTAGTATTTCAGTTCAGGTTATATAAAAAATAGGTCCAACCCAAAATAAAAGTAAATGATACGTAGCTTCCATTCTTCTTCTTCAGAAAGGAAAGAAAGTATGTACATACGTACTGTTCTCAGTCGTCTTTGCCTTCGGCAACTAGACGCAGGGCCAACAGCGGCGACTTCGGCTTCTTCTTCCAGATGGCGTCGCAGTGTCACAACGGCTAAGCAGGTGTCACGAACGAGCAGCTGCGATCTTCTTCCTCCTCCAGCGAAGGGATGGCCGTCAGTCCGGCCGGCTCTCAATGATAGGCTGGTCCTCTCACCTATCAACAGATAGCAGTAGTCTGATGATCGACGGCAGTGGGTGGTATCTCCGGCGTCTCTTTCTTCGTCGTGAAAACGACCTGGTAGTCCGGCAGTGATACACCAGCGTTCTTCCTCTCCAGCGAAGGAAACTGTGCGGCAACTCAGCATATGACCTCTGGCGTGGTACTCTTCCTCCGGACAGCGACAAACTCTCTGGCCAGGCGGCGTCGTTAAGGCGTATATTTATATCCGTAGAAGGGATAGGGTTTTATCAGTGAAGAAAATTCTAGACTGTCCCATTTATTAGCTTCGTCCGTTGGAAATTCTCCGTATTTTATTTATGCAGGTACGTTATACCATCGTATGTATGTGGCCGCATGTATATATATGACATACGCACCATATGTATAATCATGAGTACGGGTTATGGATGTAAAATCCGAATATGTATGTATACGATTTCTCTAAAACGTAATGTACGTGTTATTTTACACATTTAATTTATTGAACACTCTTTTTAATTAATTTTTTAAATAAAAGTCACTTTCATCATTAATTTAATTTTTGATCACTTTTGAAATTTCAGTTTTTTTTTAGTTAATGAAATTATCCATTTTATTTTATTCATTTTTTTTGGAGTGTCACAATGGCGTTGTTCTATATTTGAGTAACAGTAAGGGTTATTAATGAACGGTCATTGTTAATAACTACCCTCGATGAATTGGAGATACTCCTCGATTGAGTATTCGAGAGGGGATAAGTTATAGAAATAACAAGGATCGACTAAATATATCAACAAGTGGAAAGTAGCAAAGTCAAGTCTTTTTTTATCTTTGAATTAAATCACATATAAGTCGTTCATGTTGGTTTTTAATTAAATTAAATCACTCAATCCTAACTCTCCCTTTATTTACTAGTTTTATAAAAAGATAATTACTCATTTCCCTGTGGATACGAACTCTACTTCACTATACTACGTATAAGTGTTAGTATCGAATTTTATTTTAACGCACTGTGACAAAGTGCTCGTCAAATAGCTTTGTGATCGAAAGCTTCCTTTTTCTGGTTGGGGTGTGAGTAGCGAGAACTTTGCCGTAAAGCTGAGAGGCATTTTACCCGTAAGATAAAGATGCAAAACTCTATCTAGAGAGGATAGAGTTAGATTGACTCAAGGGTAGACTAGTAGAATTTATCTTGTAACCATTTTCAAAGGCTTTTAGTGAAGGGTGTTTAAAATTCCTCCGAGGGATGTCGAGAATTTTTAACCACTTTTGAGCCAATGGATTTTTCCTCGTTAAATTTATGTGTTCTTTAATTTCTAGTTTCTCTTTGCCCGCACTAAAATTTGGCAAAGAACTGTCACAGTTCCAGACAAACACAATTTACCTCCCTCTTATGTTAGTTAACCAGTTCATCATCAATTTATGCCATTAGGTCAATTAGGGGAACATGTTCTTAGTTATAAAATAACTTCCAATTTACTTTTACATTTCTTGCAAATATTGTCATTTTTTTTGCAAATTTAACTTTTCTTGATCAAACAGTTACATTTTTATCCACTTAATTACGATGTCAATTTTTAACGTTTTGGAATATGTAAATTTTAATTATTAAAAAATGAATTAATTATCAACAGGGAAGATTTAACTTTAACATTGGTTAACCAAAAATGATGACTTTGCAAATCAATTTGGGACGAGGAGGTACAAAATTTGTAAGGCTCAGTTTACTAAGAATGATATATATTTTGTTTTCGTTCTCCAATTTTATGTTTTTGGTTTCCAATTTTTTCCATTTTCAAATATCATGTTTCCATTTTCATTTTCAATTTCCATTTTCAAATTTGAAAACAAGTTTACAAAAATTGTCAGCCGATTCTAGGACCGGCCAGAAGAAAGAAATATGATCTCTGTCTGAAACCGGACCAGTTTCAGTCACTTCCAGTTTTCATCAAATTTTCTATCATCAAAACTAATAAATTTACCAATATAATTACCAATACGTCTAGCAAATCCCAGATTCATAAAACCGTAAGCAGCATTATGCACTTGCACCCAAAAATCAGCCTCATAGAGCCTAATCTGTAGAGGAATATCCTCTGCCTGAATCTCTTTTAGCAACAATAAATTTCGTTCAAACAACCATGGACCTTCATCCAGAACACACCTCATATCTAAAATGTGATAAAAAGTAAAGATATATCTTTTGTCGCCAATTTACTGGATTGAAACACCTTTAACTGGTCTCCACAGCGAGGCCATCAATTCTTTGAAAAACTGAAATTTGATCTTACGATCAATCAGAATTAAACCTACCACTAGGAAATCAGCGCGCGGTGCTCTTGTTCGATTCCTCTCCCTCTTCTTCCTCGTCAAACATTACCTCTTCTTTATCATCCCCAATAGCCATTTGTTTGTAATGATGCACCACGTCTTCCATCGAACTACTAACTTTTTGCTGCGTTGTTTTTCCTCGACACTGCTTTGTCGTGAAAGAAGCCTTCGTCCTTCCTTCCGCCGCGAAGCCCCACTACAAAAGTCACGACCTTCCTCCTTCCTTCCGCCGCCGGAGAAGATTGCAAATCCGTCCTTCGTGTGTCGCCCTGCAGTCGCTACGCGAGAACAGAAAACAGCTACCCGGAGCTATAGAACTCAAAACGGCCGCACCTCGGAAAGTCCGAGAGCGAGAAAGTTAACCCTAGCGGCTGAGCCCTAGAGAGAAAGTTTTGTTAACCGATATGTTGTAAAATGTAAACGATAATATGATATGAGTAATAATATTAAAATTTTGATCACTGAAACCTCATTTAGTTGAATATTGATTAATCGAAATATGATCATGATTGATTAATCAAAATATGGTTAACTGACCACACTCACAAGTCACAAATACATTCAATTTAACTGAAATTCTCTAATTGTATATAATGTTTCATATGCTCCGTCGGGTCGGGTGTCAGAGTGCTTAGGGTTGGAGATTTAATCTTTAGGAGAATATATAACTCAAATTCTCCAGATAATTAAAGGAATGAATTAGTCCATACGTTGTGAAGAGAAATAAATAAAAAAGAAAGACAGAAGAGCAATAGCTGTGATGGTGATCCACCAAATAAAAAAAAATCATTGATCTTACATGTTTCATATCACTTTTAGCAAACACAAAAAAACCAGAGCTATGATTCAAGACACCCTCACAATTGAAGTTCAGAAATTGGAAAGAGAAAATATATGTGCAATTTATTATTAATTAATAGAAATGCTGGTGATGGTGGTGGTGATGCCTATGCTCATCCCATCCAAAGCACTGAAGGAGAGGATAACAGGCAACAAACATACACCTTCCAAACATGGAAAACACAGAGGAGACTGCCATACAAGGGCAACAACAACATGCCACTAATGGATCATCATCTTGTCTTCTGCCGCCGCCGCCGTGGTGGTGGTGGTGACCCATAGTCTTCTTTGACCTTATTTTCTGAAAATAATGAATACCCAGATCTCAGCTTCAAAAATCAAAACTACCCATCATGGAATCTTGAAATTAGTTTCAGAATAAAAGCCAAAAAATGATTATGAATCTACCTTTTTCTCTTTCAACTCGGTCTTCTTGCCTTCTTGGTTGCACCTTTTGGAGTACGATATTGTAAGTGGTTATGTGAATGTGTGTAGAAGAGGGAGGATTAGTATTAAAATAGTTGGGTAGGGAAGGCCGGCAAAAAGTAGAAAGAAAGAACACGTCTTTCTTTATGAACTAAGAAGTCTCCTGCCAGAGAGTGTTAACGTGTGAGAAGCGTGGAAGTAGACATGGGAAGTTAGAGTTGTATACACAAAAATATTGGTATATTTCATTATTCAATTGGGGTCACTCAAATGGGCATAAACTATTTGGACTTTGGTTATGACTTGTGAGACTCTAGCACCTTCCCAAGCGAATAACCAGATCAATTTAAACCTAATAGGTCAGAATAAGTCCAAATTACATTGGTTAGGAACGTTTATTTGCCCAGATTCAAATGGGACATCTAGTTATGAGATGATGAATAGTGAGCTTTTGATGACCAAATATAGAGAGTGTGTTTGATTACACTAAAATTGGTTGAATAAATTGAAATTGGTGAAATTAAAGCTAAACCGATTGTTGATTATTAAAGAAGAAGAAATTATAAGACTATATATATTTTATTAAGAAAATAAAAAAAGAAATATGGAAACATCACTAAAATATTCTGCTTCAACAATTTTAGTCAATTTAATTAGAAAGGCAACTCTAACTTTATTTATTTTGATCATTACATTATTCATTACGTCAAACCAGAAGTTACACATTTGAAAAAAAACAAATATTAATAGGTGCTATCAAATAGGCTACAAAACGGGCTCCAAAATAGTGGGCATGTAATCAACAAATACATGAAATCCGCTCTAGTGGGCAAGTTTTGTATGACAGGACTACAATCAATAGCTTATGGGTTTGATAAGGCTAAGGCCCAATAACAATGTTTTAGCCCAGTTTTAACGCTAGTAAGCTGCCCGCAGGCCCCAGCTGGAGTATTGCAGTATTGCTTGTTGAATGTCTATTTCAGCCCGTCAAATTAATAGCCTTGGGGGCCTTATTAAATAATAAAAATATGTGACCAGTTATACTAAAGAATAAGGGGAGTACAAACATTGAACTGCACCGGTATATGTTTAACTTAATACTAGAATTTGGATATTTTAACTTAGTACTACACCGGTATATGTTTAACTTAGTACTAGAATTTGGATATTTTAACTTAGTACTACACCGGTATATGTTTAACTTAGTACTAGAATTTGGATATTTTAACTTAGTACTACACCGGTATATGTTTAACTTAGTACTAGAATTTGGATATTTTAACTTAGTACTACACCGGTATATGTTTAACTTAGTACTAGAATTTGGATATTTTAACTTAGTACTACACCGGTATATGTTTAATAGAAGCAGAATGATGTAGAAAAATGTATAAAGCATATAAGATGAGATAGAAAAGTATGAAACATGTGAAAAGTAGAAAACGTTGCAAGTAATAACAATATTTCTGAAAATACATTAGTATGTAGCAAGTAAATACATTTTTAGGTGAATTTTGGAAGAACGGGTTGAAGTGAAAGATTATTGTACTCCGTATGATTTAAGAGCTACTATCTGACGAAGGACCAAAATTGGTGAAATTGAAATATGAAACCTTACAGAGTCAAATAGACTAGTTTAGTTACATAGATAGAAATAACAATTGCAAAATGTAAATTGCCATAAAATAAATGTTTTAA